AGCGCACACAAACCCTCCACTTAGCACGTTCCTACAGGTACCTCCGTGTTGACAGGGATTTGATAGACAGCTGTCAATCACTTAARAAAAGAACAAAATATTAAGCTGCTTACGCTAACTGTTTGTAACATGAAAAATGTAAGTTAGTGTAAATATAGCACATTTTGTAAAGTTCAGTACTATTTGACTCTCCCCACCCCCCTCAGGAATATAAGGCTTACCTTCACACCGTACTCCAACATAWCCCTTGTCACAAGAACATCGRTAGTTGTTGCCTTCTTGTATGCACTGCCCGCCATTATGGCAAGGGTTTGGTGCACATGAACTTTTCTCTAAAATTCCAATTATAATGCATCAGTAMGATAAACTTCMTCCCTCATGAGGTTSTAAAAACACTTWAAAAGATATCAAATGTCCCGGCATTGAGTGGGGTAGTCTGTACCTCTGCAGCGCTCTCCTCCATATCCTGGTCGACATATACACTTGACAACACCATTGTAATTTAGGCACTGTCCACCRTTCATACACGGATTKGCAGCACAAACGTCGACATCTGAAATYAGGAGTTTTGGCAATTATAAGTGTTTTAAGGAAATTTAGTTTATAAAGCATTCAAACGCCAACCAGAGAATCTACTCGCAGTATTATTTCTATAGCGACAATATTTATTGGATCAGGCTGTTGAAACAGAGAACATTGTTTTCAAACTATTTCAAAATCATAAATATGCTATTCTTTTGATCCTAGGGTATTCGTTCCAAGCTTATTTTTAAAAATGAACAATCTTTAATAATATAAGGGGTCGCTGATATTCCATGTATCAACTTTAATTGGTCATAAAACTGCAGATCATGTTTGAATAACTTTCAATAAACATAATTTTAAAGTATGAGAATGATTTGTGATTTTTTTTGTGAGAAAAGAGTCAAAATCACTTGATATTTCACATGACACATGATGCATCCGATATAATGATCATTGCGGGTCAGAATTCTTGCACATGACTGTATCGACGATACCTTCACAATGTGTTCCTTTGAACTGCCCTTGACATCGACATTGGTAGCCACCCTCTTCATCAACACATTGACCGCCATTAAGACATGGATTAGGATAGCACTGGTCAGTTTCTAAAAGTATGTTGAAGAATGAAAAAAAAGGAATTGGTATTGATTACTATTGACAACGTATTGGTATTGATTACTATTGACAACGTATTGGTATTGATTACTATTGACAACGTATTGGTATTGATTACTATTGACAACATATACGACTGCGACTGTATGACTGTTATTGCGATTGCGATTGTGCCTGTAACTCTTGACCGAGATTGAATGGGACTATGACTTATCAGAGTGACAGCGACTGTGATTGTGACTGACTGCAACGAACGGTGACCATTACTATGATAAAGGTTAATMGTTTACCTTCACAATATARTCCTTTATAACCAGAWGGACAAACACATTTGAATCCGTTCTCATGCTCAATGCATCGTGCACCATTCTTGCATGTGTCAAGTTGGCAGCTTCTGTGGACTGCGAACCAAATAGTAAAAAAAGAGTATTAATTCAAAATAATAGCATAGATTATTACTCCCTCAGTCGTTGAAAATATTGTCATTAATAGTATTATTACTCTTCGATAGACTTTGAAAACCTCCGTTTTACCCGTTCTAGTCGACCAAAAAACAAGGGACATATTAAGGATAATATATACAAAATGGTTTAAAAAAGTGTTTTATTGACGTCATATATAWTTTCGACGTCATTCAAAAAGAAAATCACRTCATTAAAGAAYRATGACGTCATTTATAGGTTTATTACGTGACGTAAAGWGCCGTATRCATGAYGCCCTTTCACGATCGTAAGWATATGGTACACCATTTATACTTGATAATCACATATCCATTTTTGCTTGAGAAGCCTCGATTYATTWATTTGCGGAAGGTTGGACTTCCTACGRTTTGAAATGTTTAGCCGGYAATTTTTCCGTCAGTTTTCTTGACTTGAAAGCAAGTTCTCCCYCTGAATCGCGTCAATTCAGGTCGTGTGAATTTAAATTACTCAAATGTCAAAGGTCCGAACGTTAACTAAATAAAATAATAAGGATAAGTTATGATTATTTATTAATAAATTATTGATTAATTTTTTGTTATTTCATTCACCTTCACAATTCCTTCCACCAAAACCGTGAGGACAAACGCACTTGAAGCTATTTTCAGAAGCGAAGCACGATCCCCCATTTTGACAAGTCCCAGGCTGACAAGGACTTATTTCTACAATAACGAGTTACATAGCAATCAATAAAGAACTGAGCATGCGTATTATGTGAATTTCGAGCCTTAGTGGGTGACACCTTTATCTCCAGGGATACGGGCAACTTACCCTCGTTTAGGGAAAACAGGACAAATATCAGTGAATCTTAAGGTATCATTGGATTGTTAATTGTAGAAGTTAGTAACAYGTCATTATTTCAAGCGTATAAAATTGTCTTSTAAGATTTTTTTATGGTTTTCTTCAATTTTTGCAGTCTATTTAACAAATTGCGCGCGGATTTCAATTGTATGTCCTCTTATTAACATTCTAATCAGCCAATCAGAGCGATAGAATTTACACAAGCGTGGAAAAAATTACGTTTTTCAGTCTAATTCACCGAAAATACGCCCATATCTTTATTTATTAGCCATCGAAACCCTATTACAATTATTGCACTATAAGTGTCACTATGTCTTAAAGCCGCAAAGTCATTAGCTGGAGATCTCAAAGTGCTAGTTACTGTCCTACAAATATTAAACGCAAGGCTTACGCACAAAGATACATTTTTCCCTATTATAGTTTGATACCCTAATATTCAKTGATATTTKACCAACACTTTTTGTTGGTCAACTATAACTGACAACCTTGGACAGCCAGCTTGATTTTTTAAGYCCTTGAAAGGGKTAAAAKTCTAGGATACTAGGMTAAAAGTAACTCTATAAGTGTTAATTGTTTASTAATGTTCTGTAGAAACTGTACCCGTTTGTTAGTTGAACCTACCATCGCAAAGTGTTCCTTTAAATCCTACACGACAATCGCACTCAAAACCTGCTCCATTAGATCTTTGCATGCATCGTCCACCATTTTGACATGGGTTAGCAAGACATTTATTTTCTGATGCTATGGAATGGATGGATGGATGAGCAAAATGAATGACAGCATGCATGAATGGATGAACTTATAAATGAAAAGATGGAAGGACTAGTAATAGTAGAAATATAGAATGGAAGATTAAATGATTGAATAAATTGATTGATGGATAATTTAATTGAAGAAGAAGCAGACACAGAGAGTAGGCCATGAGAAATGAAGGCATTATTGAATGTATGTGACACTGAATGAAGAAACAATCAAACAAGAAATGAATAAATGGGTGGATGAAAAAATGAAAGACAAAATGAATGAATGAAGGGACTAATACAAATTCATATATGAATGACATTATACACCAATGAAAAAATAAATGAAATTCATAGGTGATATTTTGTGCAACAAAGTATATTGGGAGTTGTAATGCTCGCAGTTTTTAATACCCGCTAAAACAGTGCTTTTTCTTTGCAAAAATGAAAGTTGTCACGCTGTTTTAACAAATAAACCATAAAAACAACTTTTTAGGATATTTTATAAAAGCTTTAAAMAYAGAGCGTGGACTATAACTCCCATCATGCTTTGCTGGCGTTGCTGAAAATGAAAGACAAATGACTACATGAAATGGCTAAATGCTCGATGAAATAAAAGTTACAAATGAATACATGTATGAAAYATGAACCATGAATGGGACAAATGAAACAGTGAGCGATTAAATGGAGCGAAATTAATGTCATCGAAAAAAGAGAAATTGAATGGATGAATGAAAAAATGAAATATGAAAATGAAATGAAATGGTCCTAAATGTATATTGGTGGATGTTGTTAATAAGTCAATTGTTAAGTACATTATCTCGTTTAAGATTATATTACGAATACAACATTATTCTTTTACATACGTATAAATTCAATTCATATAGTTTCTTCGCTTAATGTTTGTGCCGTCATTTCGTTATTATAGCCATTCATAGCTTGTTTTGCAGTTCTACGACTTTAAGGCTTTTCAATGCRATTCTTKCACAGTTCTTTTGTTTTAAACGGTGTCCTTCACAATTCCCAGCGCCATCTTGAAAGGTAACTGTACCTTTTCATCGAAGGGAGATGACTTTTGAACGCTCATCGATAAAAACCTTATTTATAAACAATCGCTCAAAGTTATCTACCATGCTSACCATCATTGGTCGTCTCGCTTCGATGCAAAGGGACGGTTACCTTTCAAAATKGCGCAGGGAACTGTAAGGGAGACTTTTTGGATTACTCGTTCGAGTTAACCAAGCTACCTGCGTTTACGTCCTTGCATAAAGTCCTTGCACTTTATGTTCTAACAAAGGCGAGCATTTATTTCACTGAACATAGATGTTCGAGCGAAAAGCATTCTGGCGCATTCTAGCATTCTTGTTAAGCTTTATTCTGGGGCGTTCTTAATCCATTTTTTTTTATTTTTTGAATTTCAGTCTATAAACCAACGTATTTTATACTTCTTTGGTTTATCTTTAGCTGATCTTCGCTTTTTTAATATCCTGGTAGCTCATTATAACTCTCCTCTCCCCTCCCCTCCCCCCCTTTTTCTCGTCTTTTGGCTTCAATTTACCACTTTAAYACCTGCGATTCTCCATCTCGGGTCATCGCCTGCTATCTGGTACCAACAACCCTTCGTATTTTGTCAGAAATTARTCTTTTCCATTCAATTTTAACCTTAAAGTAGGTACAAACTGTCTCGACGTAATTGTGTGAACCAAATAATAATAATTATACTCAAAGATCAGCGTTAGAAAATCATTGCGCATCCAATTTTCATCATTTCGTTGTAAAACAAAGACGTGACACTGACAGTGTGTTAATTTTACTCTATGTAAACAAATGATTCCCTTAGTGAATATTTCAATAAAGATTGCGAATGAACTAAGCATTTTCAGATGTAAGCTTCATTCTAAAATTTAGAATCTTTCTTCATCGCAAGATTTCTGTTTTGATATGGAAACATGTTTGCACTGTTAATTTGAGTCAAAATTCACGCTTTTTTAACTTGATTTCATATCATTTCTCGTCAGTTTCAAAGCTAGCGAGGTTTGATAGAGACAGGGATTTTGCTGATATTAGTATTGAGTACAGCGTTTCAAATTTGAGTTACTTCATATTTCTTTACTATACTGAAAAAGGTCGTTTAAGCGCTTTTGAGCCCTTTTYGAGAACTCAAAGGCCACATCGTGACTATTTTGTCTCAACATATTCCATATTTATTAGTTACTGATATTATGGAGTAGTTTTAGTGTAGTTGTTGATCTACAGCAGTACCTGAACAAAAGACTCCAGTATATCCGGGTTTACAGATACAATTGAAGCCAGCAGGCGTTTCTATGCAATGTCCTCCATTTTGACACGGATTTGTCGAGCAGCCGCCATTGTGGACTATAAAACAGAAAAAAGGAGAAACATTTCCCTTAAAATTAACCAAACAGTTTTGTTCTCATTGTGGATTTTTTCTACACATATAAATAGCTTTCCAAATTAAGTGCGTATGACGCCTGACACAATAATTTCTGATTCTCTCGCAGCTATTTCTATATATACTAAAGAACTGAATGGTGAAATATTCCTGCATTTCAGTGTTGCGTCTTTGAGCTATGAAGGTTCAATCTTACAATGTGTTAATGAAAATGACGCCAAAGAAGGCTTAATTAGATACACGCGGAACTTTGAAGAACTCGCTTAAAAATGATTCCACGACATTAAATTTATCGTAGGCAATGTAGGGAATAACCATTTTCCCAGATGGCGATCATGAAAACATTTTTGAGCGACTATTTAAAACTTCGTATATCTAATGAAATCTCAGTTCACAGAGAATCATATCATGTCGGGCGTCATAGGCACACTTTATGTCATATTCCTGCACAAATAAAAGTATTATMAGCTGCGTGCTGTTATAGATACTTACTTTCGCAGTTGTTGCCTCGGTAGCCATGGACGCAAGTGCATTCATGGCCGTCGTTAAGTTCTGTACAWGATCCCCCATTCATGCAAGGGTTGGGGTGACATCGATCTTCATCTATTAAAAAAAACTTAATCTTATTAACAGGGAAAGAGTCACRCAGATAGATATAGAATGCGATCATGAAGAATGCAGTGAGAGAAAGTGAACAAGAGTGATAGCAAATTGAAATAATAAAGAAAAATAGGAAAGAAAGAAAAAAAAGTGAGKAAAATGAAATGAAGAAAAGCAAATCCATCAAAACAAAACAAAACCATCAATTTTAACAAAAAATACCTGATAACAAAGACAGGTGTGAGATTGAAAAAAAATTGCTTTGTTATTCGTTAGAAATACTTCAATYAAATGAACGTGAACGTTGTCAACAAGCAAGTTTCTGTGTCACATTGTAGTAAGGCCAAATCTCCAAAGAAGTTCTTAATATATTTCCTTAACACAATTAATTAAAAAAGATCGATGCTTCAATTTATCATTTTATCACACATATCGTAGTAGTTTCGGTCTCTARTGAAGTGTTTGCAGGTATCACTTTATTAAAAAATATTTTAAATTTTGTTTGAAGAACAAATTTCTTCTATATTGACTTTCTTACTTGTATGCTATCATGGCTTACCTTCACAYCTTTCGCCTTTTCTTCCAATGGGRCACGAACAATCAAAACTTGAAATACCAGAAACTGTGCATTCGCCGTCGTATTGGCATGGATTTGGTTGGCACGGATTTTTCCCTAGATGGCGATGATAGTAAGGGGAATGCCATGCTTGTATTAGTGGGAAGAATACAAGAATCGCATGGAACAGCCATGCTACCCTAACCATTAGCATTTCCTTGGAAAATCGACATTTAGATACAATATATGCTTTCGTTCTTTAGAAAATTCCTTTCAAAAGTAGTTCTTTGTGGTCTGGTTAATTGACGGGACAATAGGACGGGGTATCTTTGCTTCACTGACCGTATCGACCTCAATGAACACGAATTGAACCGATTCGATTACAACACAATTGAAAAATTGACTTAACAATTAACTCTTATTAAAGTGAAATGGTTACCTATATATCAAGTTGATTAATATAATTCTTTTTAAAATGTAAATAAAAGCTTTTCTTAAGTGGTTTTGTCCAATGTTTACTAGATTAGTTTGATTTGAGAAAGAGATATTTAAACAGATGAATGTTTTTCATTGGTCGAGTGCACAAACAGGCGATCCAGAAATGAGATCATCGATTTTAAGCTTTAAGGATCATAAGGTTTTGGAAGGATATGGCATGCCCTGTCCTACATTTATCAACTATTTGWTTAACAATCACGGTCTTTGAATATCTGGTCTTTTCTGTGCAGTAAAAACTAGATTACTTTTCTGTAAACGAATTTAAACAACTAGATCTAGATCATATCCAGCATCGTGACCGCAAAGTTAGCAAATATCAAGTGCAATAATTCAGTTTCGCTTAGTGTTCTTTCAATAAGAAAAGATACTAAAATGTTAGCTTACAATTGTTATTAGAGAAACTCCAATATTATTCGATATTTGTTAAATTTTCTTTCGTAAATTGYGATACTTGCTACTGTATTTGTTGCTGTTGTTGCTGTTTTTTTTCCTTCCCACCGCTTGTTATAGTATTCAGTGAACCATTTTCAGGGATCATTGGCTAGGTGTTTTAAATATGACATTGTTTTCGTGTGCAACACGCTGTTTAGTTTTTTTGTTTAGTTTTTGTTTTTGTGAAAATGTCATAGCGCAAATACTTATGCTGAAATCCAAAGAAAATTGAAAAGGCCCGTCTTTTCCTTTTCCAGGATGGCCACCGTTTGTTTGTCTCAAAATATTGCACCGGATTATTTCAAATCTGCCCTTTCTCATTTATATACTGTGACAAGAAAACTTTTTGAAAGTTTTTGAAAGTGAAGACGAATCATATTAAGATTCTAATTTCTCTGCAAATTTCCACAATAACAGAGACTCGTTTGATTTCGAAATGTTGCAAATATTTCTCAAATATGCGTTCACTGATTTGGAAATTGTCGTCAATCAATTTCTCCTTTAATTTCGAAAACACATAGATACGGGAAGGTTACGCTATGAAATTAACGGGAACTAGTCCAAAAATATAGAATGGTTTCTGGATTCGGTTTAGCAGCTAAAGTTATTTCATTTCTACGTGATAATATTCTTCTAGTTTATTTACGGYGGCTATGCGCTGTTAATTATGAAATCAGTGTTAAATGGCCTCAAGTACTGTGAGAAAGGGTTAATTCTAACCTCGGGTGACGAGAGAATTAATACAAACTACCTAACGAATTATGAAGGAATGGAATGGAATTTACAATTTGATTTGAGATTACAGTTACAAGACTCTAGAMTTGAGTGAATCCTAACCCTGCCTGTCCACTTGACCTCCGAATGACGACAGACAGACAACAAATCAGGGAGAGCCGAGGGTTTCTGTTCTTTTAATAACTGTTCTTGTCCGAAWTTTTTCCACATTGTTGACAATCTAACAAGCATATGTGGCGCCTTTTCTTCTTTAAAATAATTTTGTTCCTGGMAAAGGTTTTTATGGTCAAAAACGTCTTCTGTAACGCTATTAGATTACTTTTTTGTTCCTAAGTAATTTTTATTCCTGGGAAACGTTTTTATGGTCAAAATCGGCTTATATTTTTTTTAGTTAGAAATCTCTTTTCTTGGAAAAAATTCTTAGAAAGTATTCCTTGCCCGGAGAGTTCTCAGTTTTTCCTGGATTTCTTGCTGGCAGCCAGTTGTGACTTACAGCTGGCTGGGACATAAGAACAGATATATTTCTCCCAGRAACCCATCGACTCCTCCTAACAAATCGGACTTAGAAATAGCACGTGAGTTTCATTTTCCTCATTATTAGTGTACATTTAGTTTTTTTGCTCAATAATTTTTTTATTACCTGTGCAATGCTTGCCCGTAAAGCCATTCGCGCAAATGCATTTAAACCCATACAAGTCGTTCTTGCATTTACCGTCGTTGTGGCATGGATTTGGTGAGCAAAATCCATCTGAAAAATCGTCAAATATTTCAACTTAMTACCTTTTCTTTTTATCAATAATCATTGAAATATATATTTTTCGTTTTTTATTTATATTAAGTACGATATTTAGATGATATTAATATTTTTATGGGGGAAAAATAGATTTTTGAGGTTCTAAAATCAGGCAACCATGATCCGAAATGTCTCTCAAAAACTCGTTAATTTTACTGCACTAAGATCAATTTGACGTAATTTAGACAGCATGAATTCAATAATATTGATACCMTATTGCAATGAAATGTTGCTCTTGCACATTTTAATTAAACAACAAATTTTCCTCAGCTCTTATTGGTGGAGAGTCGACCACGTGACACGATAGTGCCCGCCGCGGAAGGTTACTATCAGTACATAGAGCCCGGCGCATGRAAATCTTTGTTGTTGTATAATAATTACAATAGTAAGGTTTAAATATCGTACATTATGATGTAATAGTTGCCATTGGAATCTGTCTTGATGTCTCAATTCAGCTACTCCATTGTTTAAATGGTGTGTTAAGCTTGAAACCGATTGGCATGTCATGTTAATGTTTGAAATGACAAGAACAATCCATAATCGCTTTTGAAATTCAAGTCTCTTCTTCTAGCGTGAAGCTTATTAGTTCTACACTGTTAGTTTCTGTCACTTTTTACTATTCAATAATGTTTAGTTAATTAAATATAAATTCAGTAAAACTACAGAGCCTAACTCTAAATTGAAATAGTGAAAGTTGAACCTCGAGGGGGAATCGAAGTTGCGATGAAGGCAAAATTTTTTCTTATTATAAAAAGTTTTCTATACCATTTCGACAAGGTTTTTGCTAAAACTTTTTTCCTCTGGCTGTTTTGGAAGTATTTCTTAGTATTTCTTAGTATTTTTATTAACAAAAATACAACTTGAATTTATGCTGGTATGTTGTCGTACTTTTCGTCATTCTTCTACATCTTTTTCCTGGAGAATTCTTTGGTATATCGCTATCATAGATGTTGTATATAGATCTCGTCTATTGTTATTTTGGAATACCGTTGGAAATTATAACAAAATTGGAAACAAATCATCGTTCCATCAAAAGAATTAGCTCTAAGAAACAGTGGTAATTGAGGCAATAACATCGATGAAATACCAAATCGATGAGTGACGCTAAATCATTATAATATCTTAATTTCATTGTGGAGTACATTTAAATTGCTAAAGAAAGGAAGGGATAAAAGAACTAAAGGACCGTGGTTTCACTATGTGATTGAGGAATCGCATGATCAGCAGACAGATATAATGAGATCATATGATGAGGTCAGGGCTGTTGTTTTTTTTTTCTCTTTTTCTCTTTTCTATTTTTTCTATGTGTGAGAGAATAGGAAATATATCTCAAACTAAAAAAAGGAAACAAATGGGCTTCTCGAAAAATTAACTTATAATCACTTGTACAAACTAGTGATTGCTCTTCAAACATAAGTTTTTCATGTAACAAAAGACTACTTTGTTTCTTGATTGGGGCGTTTTAACAGTTATCATGACTAATTAGAACGGGAAAAAAGTAACTGAAATAACCGAAAATTTTGTCAATAGCTAGAAATGGTTATAYCTTGAATAGCAGTTTTCTTTTAAAGAGTTTTTTTTATCAAGATGTATGTCAAGGACGGCCCTTAACATCATCGAGTGTCAAATGCAGGAMCTTAGGTCATGGTAACATTTTTTTAAGCTTCGCAAATTCATCGCCGGATCACTGTCCTGTTTGATAGCAATGATTGCTTTTGATATCGTTTATATGTTCATTAGATTTCATGTTTGTTTACAACATGTAAGTAATTATAATTTAAAAGCCGGCTTTCCTAAGCAGGACTAATTTTTCCGAGKTGCTTAATCTCGTCAATCGGCACTTAACAACACAATTTTTATATGTGTTTCCCATTGAAACTTTCATCCATAACTTAAAATACCAGGTAGCACAGAAGGAACTACCAAATAAAACTTTCTTTGGTTTTCCCCACGACATTATATCGTACAAATAACGAAATATTCCTTTTAAGTGTTTGTTCGCTACAAATTTAGGTTATTTCTACGCCAAAAACCCTCCCAATGTTATACAATTTGTGCAATAATGGCTAGCGTAAAAGATATTCAGTACGGAGGAATATAACCTACGGTTATCAGTAAGCTGTACTTACTATCAAGAGTGGCAAATCGTAATAAGTACATAAATATCWATAATAACCTACCAGTATCACTTGAATCATCATCGTCATCCTGACTTTCTGTCGTCTGTGGAGTACCGAGAGAACTTCTACCAAGTAACAGCGACAGTGGATTGGCACTSAAATCRTCGCTTATTTCATTGGGTTTAATAGGAATKGAATCATATTTTCGACGTGTATTTGGCTTATATAGTCCAAGAAGCTCTGGATTCACAGCTGAAGCGATAGCTGATCGTTCTCTTAGTAAATTGATAGTAGATAAAAGTCTTGCTAAACGGTTATAATTGTACGGCAGCCTATACGCTGCATTATTCGCGACCAATGCATTATTTGGTAGTAGAAGATTCCTGTTCTGTCCTAAAGCTGCTAAAGAGGGTGCACCTTGTAGAGCTAAAGAACTAAGTCTTGGATTGTACGGCAATCCTATTTGATCAAGGCCTATYCGCGGTTGATTGAGTCCAGCGATTGCAGAATTAAACTGCGGTGACCGTGATTTTCTAACATTATTCAAGTTCTTTGTGGTTTTCCGATGGGGTTTCGCCACATCCGTTGTATTACTTTGTCGATATTTTGATTTCAGGCCTTTATGTGAATGGCCGCTCGTTGATTTAGAATTTACAAATATTGACAATACCCCAAGTAGTACGAGTATTGTGTACAGTCGTCGGACGTASAACATTTCTGGCTGTCATCTCACCCTTTTATCCCATTGCTAATTCCTTGATCTTCTTCCTGGCCATTTTGAGATTTTTTGACAGAATTGCAGAGGATTTCCTTCAGTAGWCTTCTTGTTCTCGATATCAGGTTCAACTGGGAATTTTTGATGATTTTGCTGGTGGGTTATAAATTACATCATCGTTCAGGAGCACTACTTGATGACGTAAAGAGGAGATTTTCTCCATGTATAGGCCTCAATTAATAAGATTTACCTAACAAAAGTGTCCCTCTCAAGTGCCTTTTTTATAAAATTTCTAAAATCAATCCACAAAAAAATCCAAACTCGCCTATTAAAAGGAAAGGTTTTTAGCTGGGTTTGTAAGGGTCATTGAATTTTCGGGTATTTGAATTGTGGGAGGTTCTCGACTTTCAATGGTAATGCAGTTTTAATGTCAACCTTCTTCATGTCTCATTTAACTCAGCTATCTTCCAAAATTTCTTTCTCTTCTATTTCTTATACTTAAATGGGAAAATCCAAGCAATACTATCCCGAAATTTAGAGTGTGGAAGATAAGCTTAATTTTCTCAGAAGAAATGAATTTTAATGGTATGGTTTTTATTTCAACKTGTTTAATGGGTCGTTAAGTGCAGCTTGTTCATTGACCTTAGTTTTAAAGACACTTTAAAAGGTTATCACGCCTATACACTCGAACGCACTCAATCTATCCGAGCATTCAAGAACTTCAGTAAAAATCTCCCTTGGTACCATGTATTTCTTGAACAAGCCATCAAGTTTAAGCTAGTGTCAAATTCTATTAAGCGTGTTCAAAAAAGGAAAATATTTTGTTCTCTAGTAACGACCTGCTTCTAAAGGGTGTCAAATGGAATGCTACTTTAACTGATTATGATGTAAAAGGCTTTTAAACGCCTCAGTAGATCCAAACAATTAAACCTGCAGGAAAATTAACTAAAATCCCATATTTCGTAGTTATGAAGTGAACCTTGATAAAATCCTGGAGGAGGAATACGGTTTCAGCCTCAGTAGCTGTGGTGTACTTTTTATATATGTTTTAATATCTGTGTATAGCGTAAGTTAATGTAATTATGATTTATTGCACGCTGCTAATATATGATAATCCTTTTTTTTTTGATTATGAGTTTTTGTGTTTCAAATTGACTTGTAAACAAATCATATAGCGAAGAATTGGAGAGAAAGGCAAAAGAGTGCATTTTTTAGGCAAAAGAGTGCATTTTTTCCTGATTTTTTTYYTTTYYTTTTTTTTAATTTGTCAACGCTATATTCTGTAATGCCGCGTTTCGGATATACCAGTCATGTTTCAAAAAAAAAAAAAAAAATCCACGAAAAGTTATCAATGCTAAAAACTTTGGTTTCCAACTAAACTTGCTATATAATGTGTACTTATTTTATTGATCAAGTATTTGCTGCTCCCATTTTCAATTACATACTGTAAATACCAAAAGCCCTTTCTTTGAAGGGGTTTTCTCAGACATCAAAACGCGGTAGGAGATGTCCATATTGTGCTCCATTTTACAAGACTGAGCTGAAAACTTTACCCTTAAATGTATTTCAACTTTGCTTTAAGCCTTTGTATAATGGTGCTCATTTCTATCCTTCTATGCCAAGGACAGAGGTGAAGATACCTTTACACTTAAGCCTTATTAAGAGCCAGTCTGCACGTAAATTCTCGCCTATTAGTCATCGCGTAAATCAAACATGTAAGAGCTATGTGAACTTGATTGTCAAAATGATAAATGATAATTTCTCGTTGCATCAAATGCGTCATTGGAAGGATTTTTTTTAGRTATATTTGATACGAGTTGACGCTTAAAGTCCAAAGACAAGTGGCGGAGTCTGGCGAAGTGTGACGGAAATGACAGAATTATATGTAATAAAAGCGACTTTTCTTCAACACGTCCGACTGCTAAGTCTTCGATTCCGCAACTGTAGTGGAAGCATTTTTTCCCATTTTGTTGAGCTATTTCCGAACGATGCAACATTTCCTAACATGCTAAATAGATATRCCTATATCTGATTGCAACAGGAGATTTACAAGTAACCATTAGTTGGAATGGAATTGTAAACAGCTTCAACTTTGTCATCCYGGCATCAGTTGTTTAAAACTATCAAAGTGAATGATTCAAATGTTCAAGAGCACCCATCGTATTTCTTCTCTTTTTTTGGTACTCTGGGCTTGATTCTCGCTATAATTTCAAGGGTACAATATGGATTTAACCCTGACGTAATGAATGGGACTTTAAACAACCCTGCCCTAAAGTTTGCCTGTTTTACTCAGTAACCAGTTCCTTGTATCAACTATGATTAAACTTAATCAATGCCAATATAACAAGAGATGTACCTCCCCGCATCTGGCACCGCTGCTGTCTACCATCGCTGCCAGTTTAACTAGATATTGGAGTTTTTTTTTCCAATGCGATGCTTTATATCTATCATGAAAGTGTGATTATTTACGCTTTTCAGTTTTTTTTCTTTTTTGAATTTAATGCTTTTATAAAATCCTATCAATAGAGCGCAATAAATGTGTAATGTGGAAAAGGACCGGTTCTCAAGATTAAAGGGTTTAGGAGATCACTGATAGTKCTTGCCAAATTTGTCCAATGTCATTGCTAAATATCTAAATAAAGCAAATCACAATACTTTTAAAAAATCGATGTTTATTTTAAAAAGGTTTTTCAAGCTTAAAGACAATTAGCCTGATCCGCCCTTATAAATAGGATACATATATATAGCATCTTTTGAGCTGTCCTAAAACTCTACGTATAATTAGTGTTACATATTTATATATTTTGAAATTTTCTACGAAAAATATCCATACACTTTCAACGTTTGAATACTTGAGCTCAGCACTCAAATTCTATAACAATTATTTCTAAATAGAAACTAGATGTAACCAAGGATCATATTTCTTGTTATGTTTTGACCTCTTAATATCATATCCCAAAGATCAAAAGTCAAGAGTGCATTTACACATATCTGTCCAATAGAATTCTATTCAATAATTCTATAATTATTAGAAAATTTTAAAATCATCTGACAAAGATCAAAATTCAAGAGTGCATTTGCATATATCTGTCCAAAAGAAATATAATGAATAGTTCTATAATTATTAGAGAACAGGGTCTGGTTATACGAAAGGCGGATAATGTTTTTTTGCTCCATCGATTTTGTTGGGATTTTATCCCCTGTAATGATTTGTCCGGTAGAAATTTAACCTTCGTACAACCAGTTTCTTAGTGAACATATCCCTATACACATTGCATCACTTTTCTGGTCAAAATTGATTAAGAGGAAGGTTTTTTAGGTTTCGAAGCTATCAATGATTTCACTTTCAGACTGCGTGAAATAGAGTTTTTTCTAAGACAGCATTCATGATGACAATATGATAAGCAATTAAACGGTCTACATTCATTTGGACATCTTATATTAACATAGTATTGTCCACGATTCTCTGTTGACTTGGCTATGTATTTCGATGAACAGCAATCGTTTGTGCAGCTCGGGTAGCATCTTTTCGGGCATGCTGCAGGACAAGTATGTGTCAGTGGAGAAATGGCTCTGTTCTGTGCTTGTGTAGTTCTGGAGATGGCAGTTTGTTTAGATAAAGCTTTACAGCAATATTCGCTGCATTGAGGATAACATTTGGGGGAGCATCCTGGCTTGCAGCGCTTTGTGTTAATGATGCTTTTCGACGTTGGCAGCTTGCAGCACGATTTGGGGCATAGAGGCAGACATTGCCGAGAACACACAAACGGACATCTAGTAATTCCTAGAGCCGCTTTGGTCTCTGATTTGGGCAATTGCAGATGTACCTGCGCCTGAGGACGTTTTTGTGGATRGTAAGTCTGTGGTATGGGTGGTTGGTAAGTTTGTGGACGTGACTGCGCTTGAGAACGTGCCTGTGGGTGTRCCTGTTGATACGCTTGTGGGTGAGCTTGTGTTTTCGCAGTGACTGGCTTTATAACGTTGGCTGGCTTAGAATTTGTTCTCTTTGTGGCATTCGCCGCGCAGCAACTTGTGGGGCAGCTCAGAAGACACTCCTTTCTACAAATTGGCGAACATGTGTCCATTGAAGGGGTTGGTTTTGGAGTAACCAAGTTTTTTGATGGTGTTCCTGGTAATTTTATACCTAAGTTGGGTTTATAATTCTTCCCATACATTGTGTACATCATATGTATCAGGTTCATCATACCGAACCAACCCATTGCATTTCTAAAGACATCTTCAGCTTTGCTCATATCAACTATAGACGTGCCAGGAGAGCCTGTCAGAATTGATGCCAGTGTTTTCTTATCGCAGCAAACTGGAGGACAGCCACTATTGCAGTTCTTCTGGCATTGTGGCGGGCAGAATTTCTCAGCAATCGATTTCAAGAAATCCATTTGGTTTACTTTTAAACTTGGTTGAGCTGGTYTATCTTGCCTACTGGTCGTTGGTGTTACGGTACTTGTAGTCTTTAYAGGAGTTGTATTCGGACGGTCCATTTGTGCAAGGCTTGATTCAGTTGGCTTCTGTTGGTCGATATCTTTTCCATGGGATGGATGCTTGTGGAAGACGTCAACAGCTTGGTTGTAACTTGGTTTTAGGAAAAATGCGGAAGCTGTGTCAGASGATTCTTTTTTTCCATTTGTGGACGGAGAGGTTGGTGTTTTACAGCATTTGTCTGGACAATGTGGCAGGCATTGACTTTTACATATTTGGGGACACTCCGTCTGGGATATCTTATACGCTGAAAACAGAATTACATGGTTAGATTAGACGTTCTATTTACTGTGTAGGATTTGTATGATATTTGTAAAGGATATATATATATTTCTTTCTAGCTAAAAGTGTTCTATAACTCAAAGTGAATACTCTAAAGTACGGTCGAACTGAAATTGTTCTCACAATGACAATTTAAGAAGATCTATGATCTCGTAATTGTAGTATAATTTGGAAGTAAACTAAGATGTTACAGGGCTGAAAATAACAGCCGGTCAAAGGACAATGTCCGTCCGTCCAATTGACCAGAAAAATCAGATTTTGAAAGCGTTGAAACTAGCGGTAAACTAGTGTGCGCTGCGTCTGTGTTTCTAATGAAACAGTTATGTAAAATGATAAATTTAACACCGTCAAAAATAGGTTAAACAAGTTATTGACGTTTCTGACGTTAATACTTATTCGGAGTAAAAAGAGAGTTTGAAAGGGCATTTTTTTGGATTTTTTGTTGGAAGATCATTCCACGATTAAAAAAATTGTTGATTACTTACGTGCACATTCAACTCCATTGAAGTAGTGAGARTGATCACATACGCAGAAACCTCGAATGCACTTGCCATGCCTGCTACAGCCTCGAAGACAGCTGTCCGCTAAAGAGAAGAAAGTTTTCATCCGTTGCTAAATGAACCGAATTGATATTTTGCTATATGAAACTCATCATAAACTATCTTAGAACATTAGTAATGCAAGTAGAATTATGTAACATCAACCAATGGCTAAGTCACCTAACGATATCCTCTTTGAGAAAAGTAGAAAACATATAACATTTAAGTCATCGTTTCTATTTTTATCTGTAATTGTTTATGGCTTGACTATWAACGCCCAAGGCAGGTGTTATAAAGCATGCAATTTCAAATTGAAAGATTGTATTGTTGTGGTACTGGTACCACCTTTGGCCTCTTTCGCATTTTACCTTTGCACTCTGTTCCATTTCCATTGAATCCAGGTTTACAAATACATTCCTTTTTGACGCATCTCGCGTGATGATGACATCCTTTGCAGTSGTCAGTTTCATTTTCTAAAGAGAAAGGAAWATTAARATTGATCTTGGGTCGTTTGTACTAAGGGTGAAAATTGCTATCCGCTGCAGGATAAATCCTTTTTAAGGGTATTGAAAACAATGCAAAATCTAAGAAGTGGATAACTTTAGCCGGTGGAAAACTTTATYCACCCTTCATACAACTGGCCCCTGAATAACAATCGACTTAACAAAAAAATTAGTCAAACAGCGAGAAAGGTTCAAAAAGGCTGTAAAGTGAGTTCAAACTTTCATCCTCATGTTTATTATATTCTTGTGGTTTACCTGGACCAGAAAGAGCCCCAAGTATTCTGGCAAGCGGTTCGTCGCCATTGATGATGCAGACTTTATCTATACAACGAGAATTCCTAGGACATCCAGTGCAATATTTAGCTGAAATGCGAAAAACAAATCAACTCTTATACTGCAAACACTTTCGGATCGCATAGTTCGATTGGGATTCACAGGAGAAATATATATTTATATATGCTAGAAGATTTTATATGTGCATTTGACATGAAAGTTTGCAGATGTAAAAATGATCGTCACATCTAAAATCTAGAGCAAGTCTTTTCCAAATACCACTGGTCCGGCCCAAGTCATTATATCATTGTTTTTTTGAATCGGATGGAATTACGTACGTGTTTGATGCTCGAATTGATTAGCTTGAAGGAAATGCGGCTGGTCTTCACGTTCATGGTACGCCTGTTGTTCATGGTGGTATTCTTGTTCTGGGCCAAATTCGGGKCCCTTGTCGTAATTACCTTCCATACCCATAGCACTTGACCATTTGGAAGGTGGACTGTTTGGAAATTCGTTGCTGTAGCTTTGCGTTTCAGGAAATAGCATGTTGTTCCCTCCCTGGGCTTCATTGTCTTCTTTCTTATCCGGTGATAGACCAGGTGGCTCWCCTCCCGTGAAACTTAATGCTCCAGAATTTTCACTTGCAGCACTTGACAAACTTTTRAATCCTTTGAGTCCTGGAATGAAAAGAATGGTAACATGTCTGTATTAATATCATCTTGATTTCGTTATCTCTTTCCAATCTGTCACTCACGGACAGGAGATTCTCGTCAATCATAGAAAGATTTATTATTAATGTTACCTTTATTTGCATTTGCTATCGCTTCTGCTAGTTGTGCAGCATCAGAGCTTGTGATACTTTGGCCTTCTCTGATCAGTGACTGTGCATCTTGGCCGTTTTGATTATTGGAATCGCCGAATATATTAGCAATGGATCCTCCATCAATTCCATGTAAAGAKGCATCGGGCGGTGGCTGCATTTCTTCTCCTCCTTGCTGGTAWCCCTCTCTTGTGTCCTCGCCACCTTTTTGATAAGCTTCTCTAGAATCATCRCCTCCTTTATAGCTTTGTTCTTGTCCACCTTCTTTCATCATGAAGCCTCCTTCTGCWTCTCCTTGATTGAAAACAATAAACATCATTCAATGAGGTTTTCATGATTTCGGGCAGAATGTTTGAAGGATGTAGATAGATTTATGAAGTACTAGGCGGATTTAGTCAATACCAGAGAAATAACAAGATTGCTTGACGTTTATTTCATCAGGACTTTCTTACTTTCTTATGAAACCAAAAGGTTTTCCTCGTTAAAAATTTTGTACTTTATCAAGTTGTTGGTCAAATTCTTAACAAAATGTATTATTTTATGCAGTTTGGCCTTGAAAGGTGTTTAAAAATATCAACAGACTGCTCAGTACAAATATAATACCTTGCTGTTGCTGTTGCTCAGGACTGGGCTGCTGTTCTTGCATTTGGCCAGCTTGTTGATCTCCTGGTTCGCCTTCTTGTGGATACGCTGCTAATTGATTGCTKCCTTGTTGCCCAGGYTCCTCATCTTGCTGCGGTAAACGAAATTCTTGACCTCCTTCCCTTCCTTCTAAGCCTTCCTGTACCTGCCCTTCTTGTCCTTGCCTTTCTTGTCCTTGCCCTTCTTGTCCTTGCCCTTCCTGCATGTTCATTGCCTGAGYATTTTCTCTGTCCATATTTTGTTGGTATTGTTGCGTGTCTTCTTGTGGCTGACYCGGCTGTTCTTCCTGTTGCTGTCCTTGTTGTTCATCTTGCTGTTGGCCTTGTTGTTCATCTTGTTGTTGCCCTTGCTGTTCATCTTGCTGTTGACGTTGTTGCTCATCTTGTTGTTGACCTTGYTGTTCTTCATTTTGTTGTTCTTGTCCTTGGTAAGAGGCAAGTGGTTGCTGATTGTAGCTTCTCTGCTCGCCATCTTGGTTTCCCTCTTCCTGGCCATACATTGCAGCCCTGTTAAAGTGAAGAAAAGCATCAATGTACATKTATGGTGGTATTAGAATGAAGGTGATCGTGAATGCGTTATKAAAGAACGTCCTACTTCGTGTAATTATCAGACTTTCAATCTGAATGAATCTCTAGRCTCGAGCTGTGCTAAACCGTTTTGACATTTCTTTGTAATATGGACCATTATTTGACCATGTCCAAATTGGCAAGTTTGCTAAGGACTTAATTCTACCTCATCCTCTTTGAAGTCGGTTTTGCATAATAWAAAAKTATAGCAATARGTGATTGTGATAACAATTTTGAAGATAAAAATTTTGATGATAACTTGTTTTTTTACATGTTCGATGTAAGGCGTTTACTTTGCGGGAAAATAAAAAAAAATTATTAGAAATTATAGATTAGTCCACTTTTATCCCATGTACAACGGTTTTCCACTGCCCTTGTTAAGAAGCACTCAGATCTTAGAAAATATTACTTAAAAAAGTGGCAATTATAATAACAAAAACTATTAATAACGTTAACCTGATTACATTAGAGCTTATTGTACAATTACCGGTTCCCATAAACTCACCTTTGTTCCATTAACGACTGTAACATCCCAATRTTCTGACCATTCTCATTCGCCTCACCATTTCCMCCTTGAAATTTCGACAGCTCATTCTGCCCTCCGTTTAGCATTGAATATCCTTGTTGTTGATCGTCTTGCTGATTTGATTGATCASCACCCGGTCCTTGATCGCCGTATGGCGAGGAAAAATATTGTTGTTGATTGGACTGTTCCTGGCTGAATCCATTATTGTCCTGTTGCTGATCATTCGTACTCTGTGGATTCGGAGAAAACGATAACGAGTATTTCTTTTCTTTGTTTTCTGCACTCCTCGTTTTAATACCAGATTTCTGATGCGTATGAAGTTTTGTTGGCGTACTTTTTTCTGTTCTCTGCTGTGCTGAGGCTTTTGTATGAGCGTCATTTACTGCCTTTGCATGGGCTGTTGTAGTTTTCTTTCTGTCCTTATTATGACTGCCTGATTCCAAYTGTTGTGKAGCTTTAGTTTCAGCTTTTGAACCATTCTGTCCATGTGTTGTTTTAACTGCTGAGTGTCCGAGTTGTTTACAGAARGAATTCGAARCAAAAACAAACAAAAAAAGCGCTAAACCTAATGTTAATTTTAAAGAGCACATTTTTTACTACATTTCCATTTTAAAGAAAAAATGTCAGTGTTAATATGAAAAGGTGTTTTGACATGGCACGGACTGTGGTATTATACGCTTGCTTGCGATACTGYTCTATGACATCAGCTCAAAATAGGGTCACCATTCATTTTCTGGTATGGAAACAAAAGAAATCTAACCTCAAGACAGGTGAAGGGCCAATCGGGTTAATGAGCYCGTGACACCGTGAGTCGAAACCTGCTACTATTTGATTTATATATCGCCCTCGGAGTTTGCTTAATCTTGTATTATTGTTTATACACGTGGATATGTGATCTATATATCAGTAAGCAACTTAAACTATCATCAATCAGCTGAATTATTATTTCGGATGTCAAGTTAGGGTGGATCATATCGGTTATTTGATTTTTTTACTCTTTGTCTTCCTTCAAACAGTGTTAAACTCGAGCTTCTTTTAAAGCAACATTTAACCTATATTACGATATGTCAGGATTACATTTTTTTTGCAAGTAATTAGTGATTTACATGCTTATTAGCATATGCGATGTTTTCACACAAAAAAAGAAAGAAAAAAAGAAAAAAACAACAACAACAACAAACACTAAAAAAAATATCCTAAAAAATGGCCTTCTCCGGGAGTGTAAAAGTAAGTAAATGGCAATGCTTCTCGGTTAGTATTTTTTTTCTTTACGTCATCCTTTAAATGCTTCTTGAACATTTCTCTTACATTATTGTTTTCGCGCGAATTTATTGTTGGTGTGTTTATCACTTATTATGGCCCAACCACAGTTTTGCTGTCCTTTATAACCCATGAGTCACCTTCTAATAGTTCACTGTATTTGTGTCTTTGATAGAGCCTTTTTCGCTCTTTAGCTAGTCTCCCTGTGTGTGATGATGTCAAGCCAGGTTCAATTCTTCATGCATGTCCTTACAAAAATTCTTTTCAGTTTTTAAAAGTCAAAGTCTTTGAAAATTTTCTAAGGTCTTCTTCACTTAATGGGGTCATGACAGATTTCTTTGTACATCAGTTCCATTTATATGCACAACCATATATGGATCCTTCTCTTGAAATCATATGGAATTATGGGAACGACTGGAATGCAGATTTGTCTAAAAGTGTTTGATTGCGCTGAGAAGTCCCATTTATCGAAATTGTATATATCAACCAAAACTAATTTCAAAAGTTTTTTGATGAGAAAATTGTCACAACATGTAGACGTTGGTTTAATCATGTCAAATTTTGTTTATTTTAATTATTCTTATTAAAATTGTACTTTTTATACCATTTTATACACAATTAAGAGCATATGAAAGATAATACGCTTCTGTCGTCTCATATTATTATGATTCATTCATGCTAGATTCTACGTTAATTATCATTTACGTGAAAGATGGATTTCCAAGAATACACATTGAGCTTGGCATAGTCWTGACCAAATRCTTGAGTTTCGCGATCTCTTTTGCATTGCGTTAGCTTCAATTGTTTTTTATAATGTGCAGACATGTAAATAAGACTTGTGAAATTTAAAAAAAATTCTCATTGTCTTCTATATCTTACAGATTTCTTGCATTTGCACGGGCTGCTACTGAATAAAAGAATATATTACACAKTGCAAAAGAGATCATTAGCTATTCGCTTTATTAAGTAACAGTTGGTGGTAAATCCTTTACTTCAGGCGTCCAAATCAAGGACTTTGTTCCTTCWTAAGCATCTCTATTTGATGTATAATATAACCCTTACAAAGTTTTTTTTTTAAAGATAAAGTCTGCTTTATTTGTATCGGCAATAAAGCACTGTCTCATTCTATATAATTTGGCAAAAACAATATTTATGTGAGCAGGAATCGTAAAATCGGGTATCCATCCAGAGAAAATAAGCCGTCTAGTTAACTTAATATATARACTTCATTGCTTTGATTTCCCTCGTGCAAAAAGGAGACTCAGGACGTGATTGTCCCAGAATGTTACAGTTTATATACATCATTAGCTAACGGACCTCCTACTCCATTTCTGCACTTTTCAGAGGGTCCATATTTCTTATAATTTCGGGATTCCGGACCACTGAAGCACTGGCCGCCATTTTGTATGGCGAACAGTTTATAGCCYAGGCTACGTGCAATTTCGGCACATTTGCTGATTGGTGATTTGCGGGCGTGGTAATCATCAGACAGCCTCGAGTCTATGCCYTCAAGAGAYGTGAGTGCTCTRGTCGATGGGTCTTTCCAYTTGGGTGAATCRGCCCAACATCCAAGACTTGTGTATTCGGTWACTATGATGTCCTCTGAAATGAAWTTAAGCACGCAATATTATTCCGAAGTATCGTAACTTTTTTATAAGAAACATGGTTAAAATTCAATATTTTTTTCACTCCCCCATCCACCTAACATGCAATGTATAGTGACGCCATTATCTAGTGTAAAGCAAGACTGATAATGCCGTCCTCGTGTCCRTTGAATTTAATCCGCAAAATATATTTCTTCTTCCTGTTTTCTTTCAATACTGTGGACGTATTTTGGGATTGCATCTTAGCGAATGACATCTCCAATCATGCTTTATAGTTCAAAATTGAAACTCTGCTCGAACGCTGTGACGTGTTTTGGAATGGAACAAMGCCTTGATTTTATGATAATGTATAGTTTTATATTGTGTTATTGATCCGTCAAATCTACCGTACTTGTATTAAATCTTTATACTTTCSGGGCAACTATGTCAGTTAATAGCCATTAAGGGAATTCCTTAATGTTTGATACGAGTTTTCTCGTCTTACCTGACCACTGCCTTGGTCTGCTAGGGGGTTTCTTTATCTTAGTAGGTTTTTCTCTAATCTCTTTTTTCATCCCTGTATAACTTGGTTGGACTGCAACAGGAAATAATGTGCAATGAAGTTAGCGATGCTGCAAAAACACTTTGCACTTTGTCCTTCAAGTAATAAATCACATTTTTATCACAAGTTGAGATTATTTTTTCCTTTTTTTAATTCCTTTTTATCGACGATATGGTGTGWGGAATTGATAATAACAGAAATTAACTGTTGGAAGCTTTTTACAGCTGTTGGTATTTCCAGCAAGTGTTCGTAAAAGAAGTATAAATCAGTATTTTCTTCTCTCGTTTAAGTAAATCACTCAGGATTTATGGGAGAAAACCGAACAAACAATTTCCCAGGGATGTAACAATTGTACTGAAATCAAGTATACTTTTGCACCAATTATGKTTCGTGCATGTATTTACATTTTTATAAACTAAGCATGAATGACGTCAAATCAAGCGTCATTTTTCTCAAACATCATCAACAAATAACTGTAATTGTACGCCATTTTACCAATACAAGACTTCTTTGCTSTGAAGGGCAGTGGATATCCAGGCCGACACAGGCAGACATTGTTTTCGCACGTAGCGTAATGAGGACATCCTCCGCAACCGCGAATAACTGTTGTACATTAAGGCAGTATTTAAACGTTAGACATGCAAATGTTTATCATTTAATTTAAGTATAATACTTTAACCAATTATTCATATTTAAATCATGCTTTTAACTCAATAATGTCGTGATTATTTAGCGAAACACAAAGTAATCACTCAGATACACATGCACCATGCACAACTTTCAAAAATGGCRCCGATTGATGGACCGAAAAGTCGTCGTTCATTAAACAACATGGTGTCTTGCTGGAGCAATTGGACAGAAAATGACAAACCAGGCACCTCTTGAACCTTGACAATACCACGCGTATTTTTTTCTCATATGAGTAGGCCGGCGATTCATCGGCTGCTGTAATTAACCGCCATTTTTGAAAGTCTTCAATATTATTTGGAGAAGTACTTCTTGTTTTATTTACACTGCTTTGCAGAAAATTGTCATATTGTAAAATAATTGATTTTGCACTTTAGACGAATAAAGTATGTCACAACCAATGATGATTATGGCATGTGAAAGGACAACTTTCCCATGGAAGCTAAGTCTGACATCTCGTTCACTAGTTTACAGCCTAAGATTTTTTTTTCTATTTTGTTATGACAAACTTTTTGCATGTGTGTGTTGTATATATATTTTACATACTTACATGTTTTTTATGTAGTTACCAAGTTTAATCCAGTTAGARTATTATCCATTTTGCTAATTATGTTGAATTTATTATCAAATCGATATTTTAAAAGCATTCCAATTTGTTTTTAACTATTCATTCCAACGTCAAAGACTTTTCACTTTTAATGTGCACACTTTATGTTATTTTACTTGTGATTATTCATGTAATCTTGAGTTCTTTAAATTTCTATCAACAGTTTGATCGGCTCAACGGAAGAGAGAACGAACCTGTAAGTACACCCTTAAGGGTACTCTGGATACGACTGATTTTGATAAATATATGTTATTGTATTCCAAAAAATGTCATAATGATAATCATATCATCCGTACTTACCTCTAGTACAGGTATAACCGTCACCTTCGTAGCCTTCTTTGCAAATGCACTTTCCATTAACACAGCGAGCGTGTACATCGCATTCAGAGCACATGTCAACTGAGAGCAACCACATGACAAAAAATTAATTTACTCAATATAWATTCAATCATTAACTGGATATTTTTCGTGCTRTCGTTCTCTGCTAGTWGCACTTGGAATTGCAGGGAGAACACGAGAAATGTYTTGAATCGCGGGCTAAAAGCARTGTTTCGACTTACCATCGCAAAATCGTCCTTTGTAACGAGGATTCGTACAAATACATTCAAAGTCATTGGGGCCTGTTTCTTTGCAGATCCCGCCGTTTAAGCAAGGGCTTGGATGACACAGAYTCTTTTTCGGCTTTGGAGGAGCTATCAATTATGTTTTTACTCATTAAGTATGATGAAAAGTCATGAAGAAGGGAGACAGACAGAGGAAGATAGAGTAAGTGTTTACAAGCGTTTTGTCGAGGGTTATCTTAGGTACTTGTTCTTACCATAGTATGGTCTGTCCTTGTAAATGATTTTCACTCCTCTTGGCTTTTCGCACATCCTCCCGTAGTATTCTCCAGGACATACGCAATAAAAGGTGTATTTCCCCTCAATGCATGTTGCGCCGTTGCGACAAGGATTGCGGCTGCAGAATTCGCCTCCTGGTTCTGTAATTAACAAGAGACAAAATATGTAAGATAATTATGACTTCTGACAATGAAGGTTTCGATGCCCAGTTATGGTGGTCGAATTGATAAAATGATTTTAGTGCCATTGATATTTGGAGCGATATCGAATCTAGCTAAAATTAATCAGCCTTATCTCAATCAATTTTGACAATGCAGTTTATGGATTAAAACTTACTTTTTCCGCGTCCTATGTCCAATTCGCAATTGAAACCATTTCCAACGTAGTTTGGTTTACAAATGCAGCGACCTTGAACGCATTTCGCATTTGGATCACATTTATCGCATTTGTTTTCTGATAAAAAAAAAATCAACAACAACAAAAGAATTAGAAGCTGGAAGGCGCTTAGAAGTACAAAATTCTCACCGATAAAAACAATATTTCAATTTTTCTTTTAATTTTTCTTAAAAGTTTTTCCTTCATTCTTGACTGTAGCTTAACGTGCAAATGAGATGCTTCAGCAAAATTATTTTATTTTTTTCCCCAACAATGGATATATCACTAGTTATGTGGACTTCCTCAGTTTAGACAAATAAATTAAACGAAATCCAAGGGTGGAAATTTCAATTGGTCTGAATGTTCTTTATTAGCCACAATATTGGAAAGTACCGTAGACCATTGCGGCGTCAATGTAAAKAAGAGTACTTACTGTTGCAATTTTCGCCTTCGTACATTGGAGGACACTTGCACTGTGCCTGTCCGTTGACGAATTCACACGTGCCTCCATTCAAACAAACACTTCTGGACTTTCCATTACTTGGTAAGCACAGATTGTCCACTGAAGCACAAAGTACATGAATAAGACTTAACAGAATATTAGGGTATGAAAATAGTACTAATATGAAATGGAAACAGCCATTTTTTTTATCATATCGATATAGAGGATATTACATGGGTGCGTGGAGATACGGATTTTATCTTCGAGTGTTGAAAAGACGAGAAGATAAATTCGTATCTCCAAGTGACCATGCAATATTCTTTTTGTCATATAATTACATATCTAGAAAGCAAGTTATGTCGTAAAATAGCTTTTTTCTTACTTCTACTATATAGAGAAACCTTAAATTTGTTACTTTTACTAGTGAAAATATCACGTTTACGAAATAGAGAAATATAGGTATTTCATAAATAATTATATGATAAAAAGAGTTGTCATATATGGATGCTGTATATTTCATATACTGAAAATGTAATAAACAAATGGTCGAATTTCGCACGTTTTCGAGCATGAAAAAGTGAAAAGAATTCAAGTCAAGATAAATGTTATTTCTACGAGAAGGTTAATATTTCCAACTGTCATGTACTATACTGTTCATTGTGGTTTAGCTTTGTCCACTTACGTTCACAAGTCGGTCCTTCAAATGGAGACATGCATTTGCAGCGTGGTTGTCCGTTTGAAGAAAAACAGCTTCCTCCATTGTGRCATATATATCCAGAACAAGGGTCGAAAACTGTTACAAAGAAATGATATGCGTTTTCAATTTTTTTTTAATTTTATGCGTTTTTAAAACATTTTTAGTTTTTTTACGACTGCTTTTCTTCCTTGAAAAGGTAGCACTTATCCGTGTTTTGAAGAATTAACTGGAAGATTTACTGGAAAACCTCTAAGAATTAATGTCTAAATACACCTAATTGAAAAAAACGTTGTAGGGTCCAAAAAGGTCAAATCATAGAAGCTAAGACCGAAAGTGTAATTGGGATGACAAATAATTTGGCTAATTTCATAACAAACAGCTCTCCAGCATAAAAGACTATCATGCTGTTAATCTTACTAGCTCTACTTGCTTAGTGTACACCGTATATACAAATGTAATTCCAATTTAGTGGTACTCAAAATCCCTTTCGGTCTTAGCTTCTATGATGTGACCTTTTCGAACACGATTCTTTTTTTACAATTAGGTGTATAACTTCAAATTTACAAGTCTGTATCAGTATATCCATTTTCATGGTATCTTGAGAATTCTCCATGARATTTGAAATTAAAATGCTGCTGTGGGTCACCTTTATACAGTCTAGGGAAAGACAGCGTTACCTGTACAGCGTTCCCCAGAGTATCCCTTCGCACACTCGCAGAACCAGTTAGACTCGAAGTTTCGTTTYGAWACTAAASCGTCTTCACGACAAGTCCCTCCGTTCTCACAAGGATTAGGATGGCAGTGTGGCCGCGCTGAAAAGATCAAAAATTCAATGTTAGTAACTTATTGTATAATTTATACAATAATTGCACCAATGGACGTTGGTGTCCAAAGATTCTTCCTTTATGTGAGCTCCTAGRTKGWTATGYTKYCTGACTATTACYATTCTAWATAACCKATTMTTTTTYCCGGTGACTAAGTGGTTCACCTTKATACAGTCTAGGGAAAGACACCGTTACCTGTATAGCGTCTTCCAAAGGTGATTATGGCTACGTTTGATGCATTCCAGGTCTAACTACTATTCATGCATGGTTGCATAATATTATATACATTTAAATATAATCCTTCTAAATCCTTTCATCACTTAGTAGCAAATTCATATTTTGTCTTGCTCAAATTTTTATTAACCCTAGCAGTTTCATTGCCTTCAGTTTTGTTGCAAAACGTTTCGTTGTTATTGAAACATCGTATCTCATACGTCCTAATTAAATGAATTTACTCCAATCTTTTGTTTCTGCTAACAGTCATAATCGACACTTGAGATTCCAGTTGCAGCAACATTAATTCTAACTCACCGCTAACTCTCTTTCACCTCTAACTGATTGTTACCTTTCTAGTTATTCGTACAGCGCCGGACAAATGCAAGGTACAAATAAAGTCTCTGCTCTGCTCTGTTTAGTTCATATGATTGACAGCTTTTTCTCACCTTTTCTGCAGTGGAATCCATTGCCAACGTATCCAGTGATGCAGACGCATTTTTCTCCAATACAATGGGCATGTTTGGAACAGTGATTACATGGAAAGATTGGAACTAAAAGAAATGGATCTCATTAAGTGTTATCAATTTTCATCTTAAAATTATTTAAAATTTGGAAAGAGCTGACAAAACAACTTTTTAGACTACATGTAATGACGCACTGTTTTTCATKAGAAGGCAATTGAGAGCAAAATGACTATATATATATATTATATATAGAAATTATATACTATGCTTGCTAACAGTAGCAGAAGCGGTGTGAGCTATAAACCTACAATTATCRAACTATTGATTCCAATTGGAAATCTTTTTATAAAAAGCTTCTCGAACAAATCAAGATTTTTTATTCAATTGTTAGTTGTTTATCCTGACATGGTAGTGAAGTTCAATTTGTCTCAAAACCATGTAATAGGCTGTAGGCGATTTCATAACTTTAGCACCATGAATTACACAGTTTCCTTTTATTAAGGGTGTGGTAGCTACCTTCGCAATATGCTCCAGTGCGATCCATTGGGCATACACAATGATGGGAGTACCTTACTGGTACGCATACTCCACCACCTAAACAAGGGTTTATTCCATCGCATGGTCCATGTCGAAAGAACACTWTGAAAAAATWGCAARTCAGTAARTRAATTACTCCATTTCGCGGGAACACCAGMAGTTGYTCTTGATATTTATATTGCTGTTGTTCTTAATGGTGTTGCTGCTGATGTTTTTGYAGGCGTTATGTACAGTCAAGTGTTGGCTTGCCGGTTTTTATTGCTAGTAGTTATGTATTTAATATATGTACCTTCATGTGGTCGGCTGGTATCCGACATGCAGACCCCGTGAACACATTGATTGATTGGACAATCTGTGCAGCCTCTGGGCTCTGGAAATCATATACATTTTTAAACATAATATCAGCTATTACCTAAAATATTATTAAAGATTATAAGACGATAAATACTGAATTACGTTACACGAAAGCTTGTGGTTTATTTCAGGCGAACAACAAGCAGCGAACAAATCATTTTGTACAAGCACATATTGCTTCACTTATCAATGTGGAGCGTTGGAGGATCGATTAGTGATTGCTACTTCACTTACCATGACACAACATTCCACCAAACTGAGGAATGCAGGAGCAAGTGAACTTTGTTGGGTTAAATTCRTCGGTGATACATGTTCCTCCATTAAGACAAGGGTGATTATCGCATGGACCAAAATTAGGAGCTTAAACAGTCAATAAGAATTATGTTAKGTATTGTTTTATGGTTTTTCGAGATAGCAGTATCCATTCTGAGAAGCAACTTGGGCTAMAGTCGCTGTCGAGAAGTGTAAGGAAAAGACGGAGGAGAAGGAGAAGACAGAGGAAGAGGAGGAGGAAGAASAAGAAGACGAAGAGGAAGAAGGAGCAAATAAGAGAAGGAAAAGAGAAAGACAAGGAGGCGATGGCAACTATTATGATGAAACAGAAGAATATTAAGCCGCAGAAGAACTAGAATAATAAATGGCTAAGGCAAAATAAGCATCAACAGAGCTAAACACTAAAAGAAGTAGATGAGGAAGAAGAAAAAAAAATGAGTAGCAAAAGGACAAGTTGATTATGATAGTACCTTCACAGTTGATTCCAGAAAACCTATCTGGACAAGAGCAGTGATATCCCATYGAATCCTCTTTACAAAATCCATTGTTTCTACACGGATTAACAGGATGGCACTTCGACTCCTCTGTGTGTTCGAAATTAATCAAAACAAAGTGAATTAGACAAAGAAGAAATCTATCTAAATCAACGAAGAAATCTAACTCAATTTAAGTGTCCTTGCTGTAAGGATTGTTATCCAAGTTTAAAAACATCAGATATTCACAGAGATTGAAAAAATATCCTAGAACTTCTTACGTTCACAGTTCTTTCCCATGAAGCCGGGTTTGCAAGAACAGATGTAGGTCTCYCTWGTCTCAGTACAGTACCCACTGTTTCTGCAAGGGTTGGGATCACATTTACTTTCCACTAAAGCGAGAGAAAGTGCATTACCTTAGCATTTATTTGTTATTGCTGCTTTTTTATGTAAAACTTATGGACAGTCATGCTTTGCTGTTTYAGATAGCAGCACAGACTGGAAAAACACAATTTAGATATACAAATTCAATATTACAAGAYAATACATGCATCCTGCAGCCTTCTTCAGCAAGCACATATGTTGAATAAAGAGTGTTAGTTGACTCGAGTACTGGTCTTTATCTAAAAAGTTTGATTGTTTTGGAGTGAAGGATACCACATTTCTCTTTATTTTAGACTCTGTAATTACTTACTCGAACAATCTTTGCCATGGAACCCAGGRTGACAAGTACATTCAAAGTCATTTTCCAACTCTGTACATTTGCCAAAGTTCTGGCATGGATTTGGAATGCACTGGCTTTGGACTACAGTGAAATGGCAGGGCATAAATTTGATTATTTTTCGCACGGTTACTTCCTATTGTCTGGTCCACTAGATATTATGTATGTTTAGAACTAGGTAATTCATAATTGTTAATGTCATTTGTAAGTGATATCGTTTGTTCTTCTAGCCATTGAYGAAACATTTGACAGACAAATTTGTGGATCTTATCGACGATTTACAGTGTTTCAAGCTCAGCAAAGTTATATTGCAAATCATGCATTATACTTTTGTTCAGCAGGCAGATAACACTTGTTTATCAGCAAAGTTATTGTACAATCATGCATCAACACCTATAGAAAAAATTGAGTTGATACCAGCATCGAGTTTTTTCTATTGTCGTTAAATATTACCTTCACAACGGTCGCCTTTGTAGCCCCAAGGACAGAGGCAACGGAAATCAGAACCAATAGCAGAACACGTTCCAGCATTTCTGCACGGGTTTTCTTCACATGGGCCATTGACTAACAGTAAAAGAAAAGTGTGAAATTTCATAAACCACGTCAAATACGACATTCTTTTTTTTTTACCAATGAACAGAGGATGTACTAATATTTCCAACAAGCGACCCTGCATTATAACTGAAKCCGACCCTTCCTACTCTGCGAAATGTTAAAACTAGGATCGAAGACTCTTTGAAACTCTTCCGTTGAAGGTGCTACTTAAATTGCATTCATGCGAAAAACTACTTGATTTTGATCGGTGCACGTCGTCAAAGTGTTCGAATTAAAGATTTCAACTGTATTTAGAAGCTGAATTACCCAAATGATGGTGATCGACAATCACAAGGTGAGGTGAAACCGGTGGACTGTGAAGCCTTAAAGGCATTGGAAGTCTCTTGGGAGGAAATGTACCAGGACGGTGGTGGACCACTATCAATCGGTGTGGGCGACGGTGTGGAGGCCTAATTCCATGCATAACTGGAAGTCCAGCACCTGGAAGATCAGGACCTGCAAGACCAGGACCTGCAAGACCAGGAACTGGAAGGCCAGGACCTGGAAGACCAGGACCTGGAAGACCAGGACCTGGAAGACCAGGACCTTGAAGACCAGGATCTGCAAGACCAGGGACCGGAAGTCCAGGGACGGGGAGTCCAGGAACCATTGGCGGCACCATGTTTCCTGGAATGAGTGGTGGTCCATGAAATGGTTGGGCTAGACCGAACCTATTCTCCTTATAACCGCCCATTTCATCAAATTGTTTATTTAGTTCTATGGGAGGTGGTGCATCTGGTGCATTTGTACTTGACTCATGGGGGTCAACAAAGTCATTCAATGGAGGCACCAGTTTTTCATTCAAACGTGGCTCCTCATCATTTACTCCATTGTCTTTGAATTTAAGCTTCTTCGGGGAGAAGTCATTATGACTATCCGYAAACTCTGGATCCACTGGCTTTTCTCYAATGTCTCCCATAAATGGTTTTCCTTCGATATCGTTGGGGATTCCATTTCCAGTGAACGCCTCTATGTTAATTGGCTTGGATAGATATCTATGGATAGGTGCTCCCACATAACGGTGTTCCATTCCATTTGGAGAAATGTATTTATGTATAGCACGTACAAGATTTTTATCTCTTGCAGTTCGATGGAACTTTGTCCTTCTCGGAAACAACAGTGACGGTATTTGCTGTCTTTTTGTAAGCTCGTAATTTTCTTTCAAATTTGAACCAGATTTGGGATTATTAGAATCTGTTTTAACTGTAGTTTTTTTAGCGTTTCGACTGGTTTGTCCTAGCTCATTATAATATTTGGGRTCTTTTGAAGTAATGTTAGTTGGATGTGATGATTGTCTAGTTTGACTATTGTCATCGTTAGACTGGTCGTGGGAATTATCCGGCTTTACTTTTCTTGAAGTATCTGCCCTTTTGTTRATCTCACTATGCCCAGCAATAGCTGCCGGAGAGTATGAAGAAATGGCTTTTGACTGATATCCCTGTTTCACATTGCTCCTTTTAAGGTTATTGTGACCATATATCTGACTTTGATTGGGGTTTAGCAGCTCAGAAGATCCAACTTGGAGCAGTAACAGCCCTGTTATTAGGGCGTTCAATTCCATTCCACTTATTGTTGACTCAAAATACTTCAAAAGATTCTCACATCTTTTATATAAACTTATAAATTATCCTTGTATTAATTGATCTTTTTTGTATAGGTGTTCAATGTTTTCTTCTTCTCGATAATCGGTCATTAATTTTTCATAGCTTTCAAAATTTGCTATGGCTACAATGACATCATAAATCAGTGGTCAGGGGTAAAGGYACTTGACCTTGCTCGAGTGCTTTCTCGTAGGTTTATACAACGAAACATCGTCAGTATCACGAAATGTCTTTGCTAATGCCTCAGTTTCATATCAAACTTCCATTATTTTAGTATAGGAGTTTTWGAAAAAGATTYCGCGAGTGTGTGAATTTGRAGAAGCAATAAATTCATGGTTGGATTAAAACACGGCTTCTAGTGAGAAATAGAGCTCATGCGTATCCTCTGCAATAAAACGTATTAGATGCTTCTTTATTTTCATTTCGTTAATCTTTACTATTGACCGATTTTATGCTTTAAATTTCTTCTTTTTAGGCTCAAATTTCCTTCTATTAAAAGAACAGAAGACAATAATAAAAGCTTTGAAATCAGATAGCCACACGTGATTAATTTAATAATGGTAGGTTGTCGATGACCCGTGAGTTATACAAACTCTTTTAACAGGTAGTTTGTGTTTGATTTAACGGGTGCAATGATCCGTTTGATATGGGGCATGGTTTTTACTTTGGTCTTAATCTTTTAAGTTGTTTAC